CCCCAAAACCCCAAAACCCCAAAACCCCAAAACCCCATATAAAGGAAGACCATTGGAATCTTATAATTAATATTTATGAATAATTTCTTCCTATTCGATGAAAATTTGTCTGAAGATTTTCTGGATGAAAATGTATCAGTCTCCAGCATTAATACATCTCCGAACCTTGAAAAGAACATGGCTGAAAGAAAATTCGATTTTGGAGTAAAGGAAAAGAAAGCAACAAACGGTGGGTTCTTATTAGACTCGCAATTTGTTTGTAAGAATTCTCCGGTGATAGATAATTCTCTTAAGCTATCCGATAGCTGTGTGATTCAGAAGGAGCAAAGAAAGTTAAAGCCTGCTTCAAAGTCTTCAATTCAAACTGAAATTAAGAGCTTACTTCAGAAAGCCATTTTGATAAGAAATTCAGCATGCTGACAGAAGAATAACAGAGCAAGGCATTATGTTGCTCATCGCCCGGCTGAAAAGACTGTGACAATGAAAGATGTGAAATCTGCAGATTTCTTCTCAAATTAAGCTTCTAATTCATCAATAATATTTCTACTAAACTCAATTTGGGGTAATCATTCTTAAAATATTTACTTCAAATTCTTCAAGTTGTTAAGAAAGCTTCCTTATTCTCTAAGTTTCGAAAACATCTTCTTAGGGTTATTTTTAGCTCAGAAGAATAATTTTTTAGAGACATGAAGCAACCACTTGGCTAAATAATAAGCAAAGATGAATATAGCTGAAGAATTTCTTTATTTGAATTCGATTTAGAATATTTATAGCCATTGGTGTATAATTATTCACTCTTTTTGAGCCTGAAAAATGTAATTTACTTCTCCTTAAATCCTCGGTTGAAATAAAGAGCTGGGCTATCACTAAGAACGTACCCAGCTTATATATCAGTAACATTGAAGATGTCATAGTGTTACGCAGTATCTTGTTCTAAACTTGAAGATCAATATTCTTTGCTAGTAACTTGGCAGTCGTTTTTATTGTTACATTTCGGAATATTGGGATAAGAGAACACTACTGTTTAATAAAATTAATAAAAGGAAATCATATATCTTCGTACTTAGTTAGATTTCTTTGTCTTCACAAGAAAGGGATATTCGAAATTTTTCGAAGATACTTTATTAATTTTATGTGATATCTCATTAACACAAGTCTATCCCTATTTGAGATGTAGCAAATGAAGTATCACTCAATAGTATTGAAGGGAGAAGCAGGAACTAAGTCTCTCCATTATTAATGTTAGGAGTTTATAGCTTTCTAGCATCTTAATAGTAACCCCTATTAATATACCAAGATTTTTTTCATCAGAATTCCAAAAATACTTCTCAAAATTTGGGGCCTAACTTTGAAGCGAAGCGATAGTCCTACTATTATATATTATGCAAGAGATTATCTCTCTGGTCCTAAAGTTCATGTCCTAATGCTAAACTTAGATAAAGGACTACAAGAACAGCATAACCAAATATTCGGTTCTGGCGAAATTGGGTTTAAAAATGCAAAAGTCTGAATTAAAAGAAAGGCCTTTATAATTTGAAAGCTTGGTCTGATTATCTCTTAGCTTCTAAGACTACCAGAGAAATCCTTGAAGGAATAATTAACTGCTCAAATTTTTCTTAAAGCTGTGGCTAACTTGAACATTTAGAAAATAATAAATCCTCATTTTTTTATAAAGTCAACAATATTATTGCTCCAGGGGTTTTGGGGTTTTGGGGTTTTGGGGTTTTGGGG